TTAAAAACATTCATACATGTTTTCACTACCAGGATCATAGCACATGGATGCAAGTTGGAAGTAGAAAGAGGAGCTTAAATTAGTTTTTCCTGTCAGGGTTCTGCTGCCCATTACCCTTATAATGAATTACACAGGATGATTTCATGAAGGCCAGGTTGGAAAGGGCTTTGAGCAACCTCAAAGTGGAAGGTGTCCCTGCCCACAGCAGGGCTGTTGGAAGGAACATTAAAATTCATCCCCTTCCAACCCAAACCATTCCATGATGCTAAAACCAGTCTCCAGTGTGGGAGAGCTGGGTGCATCCATGAAGGAATGAGCCTGCAGACTGGGGGGAGCCACCACCCCTTGCACAGGGGGCCAGGAGCTGGTGCCAGCTTTTATTTTCTAAGCAGCTTTAACAGGTGCCCTTATCTCTGTCCCGGGAATGGAGGAGCCCCAGCTGCAAAATGGAGCCCTGAAGAAAAACAAAAATTACCAAATCATAAAGTATTCCTTTCTTACAAAAAGCCAGCCATTCCCGAAGATCCATGGGCAGTCTGGGATAGAGTCAGGCCATGCAGCATTCCCACTCGAAGCAGGACCAGAGGCACATGAGGCACAAGGCACAGCACAGCTGAAATGGGTGGGAGGGCTCAGGTGGAGCTGGTTAGGTGATGAGAGTGCCCTCGGCTCAGCAGGGCTCCTGCCACAAAGACCATGTAGGCCCAGGATTAATAAAAGGAATAAAAGTTGCTTGAAAAGAGCAGTCAGGAGTGCTCAGCCCTAGGGTTGCTATCCACTGCAGAATCTCATATACAGTTCAGGCAGTGCTGATAAGGCTGCTGGAGTGATGCTGCTTGGACTGGCCTCACATGGGCAAAAATGGGACAGAGGAAACACAGATGTTCAAAAACAGAGGGGTGGGGGGCAGGAGGGAAGTAAAAGAATTTGGAGGATTCAGCTCGCTCAAAGTAAGAAGTTTTCATAATGAAGTGTTACTTAATTTAATGGCAAAATTCTTCAGAGCTCAAGAGAGAGGCCTTTGAAAACGAGTTATTGGAGAGCCTGATTCCAAAAAATAGGTTTCCCTGTTACTTTTTTAAAGAAAAAAGAAAAAAAGCCCACACATATTAAAACACTTCTGAACTGAGTCTTAGTTCTCTAAAATTGGTTTTCTCACTGGTGTTATACATTACTTCATTTTTTAGTTTTTCTTAAGACCAGGAAGTCTAATAGGCCATTATAAGATTAAGTTTCTGTTTCAGTAGATCCAAGTAAGGAATCAAGAATATTTAATCAAAAAGCTCCAGATTTCACCAGAACTCAGCAGTCCATTCTAGAAATGCAATGAATTTAGACAGTTTGAATAGATGCAGAACACAAACATCCTTTTGAGCTCTCCAGTTTTGTTTGTGTTATAATACAAGGGGTTAAAAAAATCTCAGAATCTGGATGTTATTTATAAAAGGTCTGAGCACTACAAGTCATATAGTCTTTCATGATACTGTTTTAGTGATAAATTGTGATCTAGAGAGCTTCTCGATTTTGATTCTTCCACAACACCAAAAGTGGTTAAAATTAGTAGTTTGAACCACAGATTACTATGTAGTTGCTGTCATGTTAGTGCTCTGTTACGGGTTAAATAGAGAAGAAATTGATTCATTCCAGTCAATTCTAACGCTACCGTATGTGTAGAAAAGTTCTGGACAGATGAACTATTTCTATTAGGTCACAATGAACAGCAAAAGCTCTAACTTCTTAATTTACCCCAGCCAGATTCACAAAAAACATATCTGTCCAAGGGTTAGATTTTTAAGAAATGTTTTGACAAAATGGGTTAGGAAATTACTTCAGCTGATGTAGTTACAGCTTGTCTATATAACCTCATATATAAGAAGCAAGGCATCTTCAAATAATAAAGCAGAAAGAAAGCTGTAATATCAGTCTGCAAGACTGATAAAACCTACTTTGCAAGACTGATATTCAGAGCCTCAGTGCAGCAGCATTTTATATCAAATGTGCTAGCAGGTACATAAAAGGCACATAATCTTAATGTACTTTTCAATGCCCATTTAATTTTCTTTTCCATAGCACACTCTTTCTTATAAAGTAAAAAATATTCTTCTGGACAGCAAGAAAAGAAAATGAGAGGTGTTGTCTGACACTTGTGGCTGCAGCCTGAGCAGTAATAATGCAATTATGTTTGCAAGTAAAAATACTCACCTCCAAGCTGCCAAGTTTGTTACTTTCTAAACTGATCTTAACTGTCCCTACTGGCACTACATGCATGGCTCCCTATTGTGATGGGATATGTATTTGTTTGGGAAAGTTAATTATCCTCTATGAATTAAACAGAAATCATGAGCCTGCGTATCTTTATGTCTAAGATATAATAGCAATTGGTGCTTTCAGCTTTCCTGATGTTGCATTTTATTTTACTGATTTTAGGATATTGGACAATAATATTTTATTTTGCTAGATAATTATTCCTGAGAATTTCTTGTTACAAATTAGACTCTATTACACCTCAGTTCTGGGATCAAAGTGTGTGTAGCAAAGCAATCTACTTGATCATTTACTCTCCGTTAAGTCCAAATTCCTCAAAGGAAGTGGTGAAATAAGAATTCATAGGATGTTAAATAAAAAACTACCACATCTCTCCCAGTGACTGCTTATATTTGCAATCTGATAACCATTTCTTAGCTTGTTCTTTCCATTATTAATTATTTGCTATAAGCAGCAGTCTCAGAGATTCAAAATACTGCATATCTGTTCAGTCTCAAAAAGAGAAGTGTGAAACTGAAGTGCAAAAGGAAAGCATATATAACTTTTATTATCTTGCAGAAAAATAATTATTGACAGTATTTTTATCCTCTGTTAAAGCCCAATTTGAAAAGAGAGCAAACTGGGAAATAACACTAATATTTGTGAAGCTAGATCTGGCCTTAAGTCTAGCTCTCTGCTCCTAGCAGTAGCAACTACCAGAAATTTCAAAGGATAGTTGTTTGCAACCCCTTTTCCAAAAACAGAAGCATGCTTGAGCCAGAAATCAGTGCGGCTAAAAAAATCCTATAATTTCTAATATCAATCATATTAGATAAAAATAGAATTTTCTGTATTTGATATCATTTGTTATGGTAAAATCAGTCACAGAGGGGAACACCTTATAGTAACATGCAAGCCAGGAATTAAATGATTGCAGTAAACTTGTTTTTCTAGATATTACAGGAAAAACTGGCAAAATAATCTGTACACTTAAGTATATTAAGCACTACTTTTTTTTCGGTCCAGAGCTATGGAAAAAAAACAAAAAAACCCAACATACAAAAGTACAAACTTATAAAATCTACTCCAGAAAAATGTAAAGGAGTATCAGAACAAAAATTACGACAACTGCCTTTGCTAGAACGTGTAAGCATGGAGAGTTGCTTCCTGTAGGTTTGAATGACTTAAATAAATATGAAAGTACTGGTTATCTGAAGGCAAGACAAGGATATGTATATAGGTATGTGTCGAGATAAGTCTGTGTCAAGTGAGAAGCGCAAAAGAATTGTTCAACATTGCAGAATAACTGAATAAAGTCTCTGACACTGCAGTAGCTTCTGGAAATTCCAGTAGTATAATTTGTGTCCTGTATTTGGCTGAAGGAGGAAGAAATATTTTGAAGTCAATTTAATGCATGTGCCAGGTGCTTGGATAAGCAGCTCTGAAGAATGAAGTCCAAAGCACAGAGCAGCATTTCTGTCCTATATATTCTGTCTCATTCTGAAGGTTATGCTTTCTTTAGAGACAAGAGTGTAATTTCATCTCCATGTTCATTCAGCTCCTGGCTCAAAGCCCACAGAACCAGAGAGAGAAAATTTCACCAATTTCAGGGGGCTGCAGTGTCAGCCTCCTGTCATTCGTCCTGGTCCTGCAAGCCATTTCTCTGGTGAATCATTCTGAGTGAGATGTTCTAGGACTGCGCAATTTGACTTCTCTTTGAAGACTAGGGGAGCAAAGAAATGCTGTGTTTAGACATGAATGTGTAACCACTAGAAAGACCCCCAACACATTTCTCACTCACGACAACACTGAAAACCTACATTTGTGTTGCATTCTCTCAAGTTTTGCTTGAAATTACTCCTTTCTTTCTTTCTCAGATAATGCTATCCTTTCAACATGGTCACTTTCTTATTGCAGGAGACAGTTCTGCATCCTTGAAAAAATTTGGATTGTCTAATGATACTGGTCAGGTTAACCAGAGCACTGTGTGAAAGACTGTCTCCAAACAGCACAGTGTTGTTAAGAAAAATCAATCCTTTATGCCTCTAATCAGACACGGAGAAATAAATTTATCCTGGTTTTATTTTAATAAGTGATGATTTTTTCAGTATTTCACCAGGATTATTTAATTAATTTATTTTTCTAATTTAAATGAGGTGAAAAATGCAACATACAGACAAGTATCTAGACTAGAAATATCTCTGTTAAATATAAAACCAAGAGGAGAAGAAATTCAACTTACTGAAGAATAGAGTGACTTATAAAAGAAAAATTATGGCACATAGGTTTTTTTCTTGGTCCTAATCACCACCAAGTTCTTTACTGATTGAAATAATTGAAATCTGTAATATTTTTCTGTGGACAACAGGGGGAAACCACATTGTGGCTGACATGAATAATTGCTTTCTTACATTTACTTACTTTCTACAGCAATAAATATTCATAAGGCTCAGTTTAAGAATTTCACAATATACTTAAATTTCTGATCAAGCTGATTTGAATTAAGTTCACTATGCTAACCTTTTCAATAGAACTTTACAACATACTATAAAACTGTTGTTTAAACAATTCTTCTCATAATTACCACCAATAAATGATACCTTTTTATTGCCATTAGAACACTCTTGTTACCAGTTTCCAGAGATCGCTGCAGTAATCTGTACATAACTTTGTCTTATGTTGTTAAGAATTGTATGGTTTTCTTTTTAGAATTCTGAAACTGGAAAAGCTTAAGAAAACATGCAAAATGCTGAGGATACACGTAAGTGAAATATTTAATGTCCATCATTCATAAAAGTTACATTGTTTACATAGGGTTCATTAGTATATAATAAAAATGTCATCTTAATGAAAGATTTTCTAGCAAATCTTTTATATGTTAATTTGTTTAACATATGCTTTGGCTATACAGCTAAATAGGAATATATTTTAAAAAATCTTTCTGCAAATAGTTGCTTAACAGTTACAAAACCTCATTACTAAGACGTGGTTATTGTTACACTTGCCTGTTGGCTTGTAAAAATCATCTGTGATTTGGACTGGGAATCTTAGGACCAACTTTCTGTAGCATACTTGCTCATTGCATAGTGACCATGTAAACAGCTCAGGGATCCACAAATTATATCCTTGTACTCTAGACATCATTGAGGATTTTACATATTGTACTGCTCGTGTTTTCTTATATTGATGAAGAATTTGGGGGTTGTTTTATTGTTGATGCTGATGGGAATTTATTTTTAAAACGTCAGTTTTATACAGGAAGTTAAAAAATTAAAAAGTTAACACCAAAAGAAATAATTTTACACTGTGCAACAGTATTGCTACCTCATTCTTTTTGATTTTAGATATATATAGCATATTAGAACTGCACTGTACTGCTTCTTCTCAAAAGAAAAGTTTAAATTAGTTGGAACAATTGACTATGTGTTTACATAAAGTTAACTATGTTTGCATCAAATAAAATGTTTATTAATGAAAGCTATCATACAAGAAACATCAAAGAGAAATTCATTATACAGAAATGTACACTATATGTGACAGATGGAAAAGTGCATGCAGATTTGTCTCATTTAAAGAAAATTAATTCGGAAACAATAGTACTAAAGTTACTGGGTTTTGATTCCTATGATCTTGGATGAGTGAAAAGTTCTCTTTGAATTTACAAAAATCCATTTAACAGATATGACTAGTACACATTAGCAAGCAAGTGGAATGAATGCACTCGGATTTTATTTTACAAGTACTTGTGCTTGACAAATGTGATTTTTTTCTTTTTTTAAAGAAAAGGTTTCGTCGAATATGGGCTGGGTAGATTGCTGCCAGGTTGCTCTGGTTTTATACATAGTTTCTCTAAATTTGTTTTTGATACCACACAATTTGTTGAAGCCTTCAGTTCTGTTAATTAGACACCATAAAATAACATATGTTTTGTTAACATTCAGGAAATGACATCAAGTCTTTTATTTTTATTTTTTGGCTCAATAGATTTTTAAATGTATGATTATCGTAACCTAATATTGTCTTTGTCTTCACTGCAGTGGATTTCCGATCAAACTTTTCCCCTTCTTTTAATACTTTAGGGAATTTTCAAACGTCGGGATGTTTGGCTGTAATGCCCCATGATTTGTTCTCCCTGAAAGAAATCATAGTGACAATTTATTAAACTACAGAGCAACCTGGCTTTTCGGGGTCTGCAATTCTATTTTGTGTTCAATATACCTAGCATTAAATCTTGATTCATTTCATCATACTATTTAGGTTATATTTGTCATGCAATTACTTTAGCTGCTAGTTTTAGAAGTCTAAGACAGGGTTTCAATATCAAATCAGTGGGGCATTACTTTGTATGTTCAAAAAAGGAGCTTAAAAGGCTAAAATCTAAATTGCACCAGCAGTAGCATATACATCGAATATGAAGAAATTGAAAACCTAAGAAGGAACCATATTTTAAAAAATTTAAAAGGCTGTGTTTCTGTGTTTAATACCAATTGTTCATAGGTACCATAAAAGTAAAGAGACGCATTGGTACACGTAGACTTTAAATTTAAAAAAAAAAAAAAGGAAAAAAAAAACCAACAACGAAAAATTGATGGGAAATAAAACTCCTTAGATTCAAAATGGTTTATTCACACAAATTTAATAGGATATATCACAATTGTTTGGTCCATAAATATTTAGGGGAAATAGTTTCTATACAATGCATTTATCAATAAACAAAGAAACATGGACAATTTTGCTAGACCACTTACTGTACTATAAACACGAAGCTCAATATATAAGATTATTGGATTTATCAACTATATCTGAAAGAGTGCACAACTGCTTTCTATGACATGTTTGTCCCCTCTAACAGGATACACCATAAAAAGAGTTTCAGAAATAAGAGGTAAAACAGTACAAAACTAGTGAGGTGTCAAAAGGGCTTAAAACAGTTAATTTAACAAACAACACATATATCCTGATTTTTCACAAACTTACTCCCAAGGTATATCATAAGGCACATAGTAGAACTGAGTTTTAATTAGTCTACTTAATAAAGTAGATCTCTAGTACCATATATTGTTCTGTCAAAGAACAAAATTTATAAGTATCAATATTTTTACCTGTAAAAGTGTATTAATAAAGATCTCAGCCTTACCAAGGTCGTTTGGTCTGGTTAGTGGTAAATGCCCATAAGGTAATAGAAATAGGAAAAGTCAAGATTCAATATCCGTAGAAGATGATAACCATACTTGCTAAATATATAATGGCAAACACACCTTTCTTCTATTACAGTGTTAACATCTCTTCCGTCATCTTTTTTTAAAAATAAGCTACTTTTCTGTGCTAATTTTCTAAAAACCCTGAGCAAAAATTACAATAATGCACTTTAATGTGGGCAGTGAACTGTCAATATGTAACCACACATTTATACAGCCAAAAAGGACACCTTTAAAATATATTAAATAGCCACTTTGACCACCAAAAAGAGATTTGATGGTGTTTAAAAAGTGGGGTATATGTGCAAAGTTATTCTTAACAATCCACTAAAAGCAAGACATAGATCTTGACTGGTTATTGTTCGTTTTTGTTTCTGAGACTCTCCACAATCTAATTGGTGTTCAACTACAATAAAAGGATACAAATGAACATTCACCACTGCCCAGACCATTCAGACTTTTAGCTTAAATAAAACTAAAAAAGAAAGATCACTACTGTAAACTAAGAAATGTATTCAGATCAGCATCCACAAGGCTTCTGAGTTTATCGGCTTTAAAGTTATTCACTGCCAATTCCTGGTTTTGTACGATTTTTGCTAACAGTTTTTTCTTTTCTACAAAGTTTAAAAAGTTAAAGCATATGTTAGAGATATTAATGAACTAAAGATTTTTAAGTTCCTGTGTTAAACCAAGTGTCTGATACAATCTCAGGAAACATCTAAAGTAAATTCAAAATAGTAATGAATAAATTGTACTGAAATAATTTTCCTTAAACATCTTAATAAATTATATTTTGCTTATTTCCATTTTCCCTGGAAAAAAAAAAAAAGTAGGATTTACCAAAAATTCATTTTAATAGTACATGTGCATGCACCTTCCTGGAAATTATTTCTATGCTTACTAAAGTAGCTAGGCAACCTCTTGTGTACTTTGATTGTATGGCATCAAAGCCATGTAGCAAACTGCAATTTTTATTCTTTTTAATTCCAAATCAGAGCTGCTTGACAGACAAAAATTAAAACCGCTCCCTATGCAATATTTCAGATCAGTAGGACTCCTCACCTGCATTGTTATTCTGTTATTATTAATTTACTAATATTCTTATAGGAGCGAGCTCATTCTGGAGGGTTTTTCCCAGATCTTGTCTTCTTAATGTACAGGACACAAATCTGGAGACCAGCAGCCTGATCCTGCCATCCTCACCCACATGCACTCTCATCACTGGGTCTCTCCAAGTCCTCCATCCAGGCATGGCTTTCAGTGGTGGCCAAGGACGTCCCAGCTGGGTGAAGAACTGGCAGAGGAGCGTTTAGCTATCCCAGTGAGATCCCCAGTGCTCAGGGAGGATCAGGCTTGTGACTTATGCATTAGAAAAGAGCACTGGCACTTCCAGTCTGACTGTTGCAATGATTAGTTTCGTTAATTTTGTATTTGTTATTCAACATTTAAAAAAATAAATCATACAAAACTTTTAGATGCATTATAAAAATGAAATTAAATTTAGGGTTCTTAAATGCTGAAAGTGAACATACAATCCTGAAACAGCATTCTTTTGATGCTGGCTTTTATCTGGTTATGGAGAAGGGAAAGAAACTTTTTTTTGTTTGTTTTTGTGGTAACAATCAATTCTTTTCAAGGTTCTGGAAATAAGTAACATACAATTTTAAGAGGCACTTATGAGAATGATTCAAAACCTTCTCTTAGGTCATTTGATGAATTTAAAAAATTTGAGTACAATTTAACAACAATAAATGTTCATTTATTATAGCAACATATGACTTCAAACTCATTTGCCAAGTGGCTGCAGATGCTACACATCAAGCTGTTTATTTTCCCAAATATTCTGTGGGTTTGTTTGTTGGTTTGTTGGTTTGTTGTTTTTTTTTTTTTAAAAAAGGCTTGAAAATAATAATAATAATTATAATAATTATAATAATAATAATAATGAAGAGTAAGAATTAAAAAAAAAAAAAAAAAAAAAAAAACCTGAAATGTTAGAAAAGGTTTGTTAAGGTAGTTTGTGAGGGGCTCCCGGATTCGTGGCTGTCCAAGTTAGAGGTCACTGATGTCACTACAGTGATAGTGGGATTGGTCAGGTCTGTTAAAGTGGTCGCAGTGCCGGGTGGAGTGAGTGCGCCGCTGTCTGCTGAGGGCGGTGCCGGTAGTGAGGTGCCATCAGCTTTATCGACACCCCCATTCTCCTGCCGCAAAAGGTTCCTTCTGAATTTGGCTCTTGCGTTTTGAAACCAAACCTGCAAACCAATCCCAATTGATTTCTTTACCGATGCTTGTTTTTGTTTTGCTCATTTTTGTCTTTGTTCTTGCTCCTAAGTCATTTTTGATGTTTGCTTTTGTGTGTGGCCCATCACCTAAGTCATTCTACAGCCATTCTTGCTACTGGTGGTACCGCCTTTCTCACAGGCCCAGTGCTACAGATGCTCGCTGGAACATCACAGCCCCACGTGCAGCCCTTTCAGAGCAGCCCTAAGAAAAATCTACTCATTCAATCCCCAAATGAAAGCAACTTTCTTGATGGCCATGTAGTGTTCCTTGGGTTGGGTAGCTTTGGGGTCAAGACACATGATAAAGATTGAGGTAAAGGGTGAATGAGCAGATTTTTGCCAAGGCTGAAAGTTTGTCTTGATTATTTGAAAATGCTGAAGAGGAAGGAGAGGTAATTACACCATCTCTATCATACAGACTGTTGATATGGGTCACCTAGTCTTTCTGTTCTGTAAGGTTCACTGAAAATCTTTTAGGTGACGTGTAACACGGACAAGGAATTGCCGCTAATAAATTCTCCTACCTCAATCTCTGCCCTTCTTTGGCACTCTGCATATAATACACACCTCACTTTAACTTCACTGAGCTAACACACACCACATAGGGGGGTTTTAACATAATTTGCCAGGCTGTCCTTCATAGGGAAGTGACTTTTGACTATGTAGGCCCTTAATGATAACAGATGTCTAACAAGCATTGAGAGAGGGAGCCAGCTGGTCCTGGAGGATCATGTTGGTCAAAGCTTGTTGGTCATAGCAGGGGATCTCTTAGTGAGGGGCCACATTATCTACTTCTGGGGAGCCCAAAGGCTTCACCCGGTGTGCATAAAATTAGTATATTTGCTACTTCTACCCTTAGTGAGATCACCATGGAGAGACTACCAATCCCAGGATATCTGCTGGGTTGGTAGACTCTGAAGACAGTTTCCTCATGTTGAGGTTGCCACTGATTATAAATCACACTTTCATATTCGGCTGCCTTGGGGCAGTAAGGCATACATCCGACACTCCTGCCACGTAACACCATACCCCTCTGCACACCCACTAGGGACACACCTAGCAAAAGTATTTCTATGTATATTGCTCTTATTACACATAAGGGAAACGCTATTGACTAGCAGGGGTAGGGGGAAATGCTGTCAAGCCTGTGATGTGGCTTCTTACCTGCAGAACTCTCTTGGTCAGGCCTGTTTTCTGGGCAAGCTGCTTGAGGTCCTTGGCATCTGGATTGTGGTTGATAGCAAAGTAGGACTTCATGGTACGAAGCTGGTGGTGTTTGAAGGAGGTGCGCATGCGCTTTGTCTTCTGGGACGGGGGATAAGGCTGCTGGTCTCTGTCCAGGTGATCTGCCTCATTCTCATTACAACCTGTCCAATAAACAAAGTGGAACAAGGAGTTAGTGGCCATGCATCACGTAGGATAAAGGAACCAAGGCAAAATCTTAAGTCTCATACAGTTCAGAAGGAAGCAAACAAGAGAGAAAGGAAGGAAGAAAGGGCTAAGATGGTACATGGAAAAGTACAGATGTGATAATTAAATCAGACCCAAAAAGATCCAGAATATTATAATTTCCTATTCTTAAAACATGCTGTGTCCCCCAGGCCTGTATCTACTAAGGGCAGATTTAGAAAGTTTTCTCTCCTTTAGCATTTAGTCTTTTCCCTGTGGTGATGGTTTTGCTTTGGGCATTCAAAGAGTCATTTGGAATCTCATTCAGATTTTGAAATCTCACTCATTGAAACACTCTTAGCTTGAGAGAAGAATAAAGGTCAAACCAGCATTTTGAACGTTCCTGAGCTTTTCCCCAAATCACAAGCACCTATAAAAGGAGATGTGCAGCAGGAAAGTTTCTTATGACAGTTCATCAAGAAAGCGTAAAATCTGGAGTGTTTTTGCTGATAAAATAAATGCTTTTGGACTCTGCATGAGAGTTTATATGAACTGCTCAAACACCTTAATCTGTAAAACATGTCTAGAAAGCAGTTGCATCAAGGCTTGATTCAGTCCCTCAATCCCAATCCCAATCAGCAGTAGCTCTTACTTGATACTGATTGAGGACATTTCTACAAGCAACCAGCTAGGGGCTGAAAACTTGAAGAGAGCTTCCCTGATTTCCCTGATTCCCCTGATTCAGGATTTTCAAAGTGTCTATGAAAGATAAGTTTGTTTCAAATTACACTTTTATGGGTGTGAATTATGTACAAGAGTTGCAGCTCTTTGGGAAAAGTGGCATCATTACTTCATATTGGGGAAAGAAATAACAGTATTGGCAAAAAAAAAAGTAAGAAATATATCTATATTTTTCTTTTCAGCTTAAACAGAAGGGTTAGCAATTTCTAGGATCTCATTTTATAAAGATAGCTTAGTCTCACAGAAGAAAATTAATGTGTCATCATAGCAGGGAATATTAATTAAAGAAGATCTAATTAAAAATGTTTCACAATGTCTGTAAATTAAACCAAGTTTCAATACTTCTTCATTTGGACTTTTGAACTGCCTTCCAATAGTTACTGGATTATTTACAAGGCCTAGCTGATCCCCACTCCTAATTTAAAAAGAGGGAGAGAGAGAGAAAGAAAACAGAGACAAAGCAACTTGAAACCAGGAAAAAATAAAAAGTTTCTTGAAGATGTTTTCTCTTTTGAAATATAAGACAAGTCAACATGAACAGATGCTGGTAAGACAACACTTTGACAGAAAATCAGGTGAATATTTAATTATAGCTAGCTTTGCTTCTAGTCTTGGTAAGAAGTATATCTTCGCTTTCAAACAAAGTAGGCTGACACTTCTGAAAATATCAGGAGTTGAAAGTTGCCTTAAAAACAATATCAGGCCAGATTTGGATTGTATTTACTACTTGTTTTCACAAGCAATCACACTGCCTTCAGTCGAACTGCGTGGGCCGTAACTTATGAGCTGACATAAATCAGAGTACCAGAATTCAGCCCTCAGATTTTACTTCAGAGTTGCAAGCTGCTTGTTTGTGTTGTTTTTCCTAGGTTTACAGTAGCAACACAAACTTCCTCAGGCTCCTCTGTCCCGCTTACTGCTTTTGCTTCTGTACTCCTCTTTTTTTTTTTCTGTGATTTACTTTATTTCAGCTTTTATTTTCAAGAGAAAATGGGAAGAGAGCTCCAAGCATCCTTAGACAGTCCTGTACAATGATTACAACTCACTCTCTGTTTTACATGGGTGAAACAGTGTTATGTGGTTTGGCCAAATCACAGAGCAGAGTTTTGCACTATCTCCTGGAAAATTAAGGGGAAGAAAAAAATCAAGTAAGACATTATTGCTCATTCCTTTGCAGTGGGATTGGAGGGTTGTTTAATTTTGCTTTCAAAAGAGCTAGAATAGTTTGCCCCTTATTGCCAAGAATTCTTCAAGGGAACTCTTCATAGTTTTTCACATACATACATATAATGAAACAAAGTAAACAGCTCTGAGTAACAGCTGTGTAAAATATTTTCCTAGGCAAATCTTCTTCACCATCTCATTTCTATATCCTGTGAGCTGTAAGTCAACACAGTTTCCCACAAAATACATATTAATTCTATGATATAAGAGGTAATATAGAGAAAGCCTTGAATGTTTTAAGTACTTTTGAATAGTTTCTTCCATTTTTCACATTAATTCCAGACAGCTCACAGGTATGAATGACTTTTACCTCATAACATTTTGAGTTATTTATTGTTGTGTCTCCACTTTACAACCGATGAGTTGGGAAACAGAAACTAAACTACCAAACAAAATACAGAAGAGAAAAATTGTTGTAGATCCGGCAGCAGGGTCGGATTTTCCATTCTGGCCCTGCGCTCAGCTCCCCTGAAACATAATGTGGGCGCAAATCTGAGCCAGGGCCTGCAGGACGGCCTGTGAATACACACACTCTAATGCTCAGCTGGGGGAAGTTGTTATAGCTTCGCCGGAGTTTCGTTTTTTAAGGTCGGGTTCGTGTCCCATAGTGTCTTGGCACATGGGTACGGACACCCGCGGGGGTGGCTGTTTCGGTAGGACACCGCCTTGGCTTGCCGGGGAAGTTAAAGCCGTGGTGCCCACCGAACACGGAGTGCCAAGAGGAAGCTTGGGCTGTCGGTGAGGAGCTGCAAGCACGGAGCGCTGTGTCTCGGCCCGGGCGCGCTTTAGCGCAGAGCCGAGTCCGGGGCAGGGCTGAGCCCGGGGCCCCTCGGCCCTCCTGTCCCGGGGGAACAGGGGCAGCACCACCGCAGCCATGGCCGGGACCCGGCCCGCCTGGCCTGCCGGATGGGCTGCGGGGTCCCACTCCTGCCTTGGAAGCGCTAATGGTGTGTCCGACATTTAATTTTCTGTGCACTGCTTGCCCTTTGTAAATAATTACGTGCAAGAGCAGTTACCGAGTCACAAGGCAGGGAACGAAAAGTGTGTACAGGAAAGTGGCTGCCAATTAGTTAGAGATTTTTTTTTTTCTCTCAAGAAGAGATTTCATCGACCGCAACTCATTTCGTAACTGTTACAGAATTGTTTTCCTCCCCCTGGATATGGAGCGCAGTGGCTCAGTGGTCTGGGGTCGTTTGCACCGGGTACACGGTTTGGCTGCAAACTGTACTTTCTCGAGACCATGTGTCAACCCTGGACATTATTAGATAATACTTATAAAAAAAAAATAAAATCACGGCCCTAACAGAACAGATTTCTCAACCATCTAGCCTGAGTCCAAAGCATCATATTCGAGCGTTTGTTGATTTGTTGTTGGGGTATTTTATTCTCTCTGTCCGTTGCCCGGAGGATTCTGTGAGATCTCAATGCAGTGAGATGGATTTTCATAACGGGCAGTGCTTTTTAATCTCATTTGGAGTCAGTGGTACATCTTATATGACCCGTTGTTGTAAAGAAGGGGAGTTTTAAGACTAGCACACAAAAGCTATGTCAGCTTTCGCAAATAATGTCTCTCTTGAGTCCTGAAGTTTAAGGGGTTTATCCTACTCTTCATTCTTCTCTAATTTCTGGTCCTACTTCTAACGCTAAATTATCTCTACTAATATTTCCCTTTATGAATCTGGGGATTCGGGTGATAGTGTGTGGACCAGGGATAGCACAGAGAGGAGCGCGGGCGCACGGAAAATCCACCATTCGAAGCCTGGGCTGAATGAATACTGGCTGCGCTACAGGTTCCCTTTTCTTTAGCAGCTTTCAGGATTGATTGGAAGCTGCTCCGTAGCCAGGGATTCCAATGTCATCTTCAATTAACAAGGAACAATTAGCGCAGTGATTACCCTGGCTCCAAGGTCTACGCATCAGAGGAGATGAAATCGCCTTGCACAGCTCCCTGGTTCCGAGCTAAAGCCCGTTTCACGAGTGGCCCCAGAGGAGGTGCTGGGGGAGGGATGGGGAGGACAGGGGGGCGGTGGAGGATTCCTTATGGATCTCAATGAACTTGGTGGAGGGGAGAGAGCTCCGGACCGATAGCGGTGCACTGCTATCGACCGCGATTGTCAGAAGGGGAGGCCTTGACCCCTGTCCCGGTTGGGCCAGCGGTTCGCAGCCCTGAGGAAGGAGCCCCCGGCTCCCTGTCCCGGCCGGGACGGCTGCCCGCTTCGCGGTGAAGCACCTTGCACCTCTCCTGCTTCCCACAGCTTTCTCTCCTCGTTACTGACCATCGGGAGCTTGAGTTTTGCTAAAATAATTTTGGAGTTAGGAGTTTGCTAGTTCATATTTACCCTCTCTGCTTTCGTCTTCCATCTAATGAAACTCTGCCTCAGCTGCTTGACCTGAAAGTCCTTTGCCTCTGGCCACTTGCACTGTCTGTTTATACACGGTTTGGGTACTTCAGCGACTGGAGTCAGAAAAGATATTTAATACAGGATAACACTTTTTTTCTTTCCTACTGCTGAGAGAATAGAAACCGTTCTCCTTAATTACATTTGTTAGTGTTTAGTTACATGGAACAACATGCATTCATTGACCTCTTGTACAGTTTGATCATTTATGTGCCAGTAAAACAGAATTATTCAGCCTGAAGAATTAATCACTATAAATTGAATATCTAAATCGAGTTATGTGCATAGTACATTGGCATAGGAGCCATATACTATACCTTTTATTCTATTTTTTCTGATTCATTTGGTTACTTCTAATTTGAGGTTTAAATGGTGAAATGCTTTTAGCTAAGCAAATATAAATAATGATAAACTATCTCTAAGATTCCTACAGAGAAAGAGCTATGTGGGGTTGGGTTGGGGTTTTTTCCATTTTCCTTTTTTTTTTTTCTTTACCCTGGGAAGTGGCTAAGTTTGGGTGTTTGACATTAATAGGCAAAGACAGCCTTTGAGGAGGGCTGCTGTTAGCTTTCCTGCAAACGCTCCAACCCTCAGAGGGCTGTTTGTTTGATTTTCCAATGGTTAAGCAAGATTTGGCCTGGCTGAGTTACTCACGCACTGCCTAGCTGAGAGGAAGCCCAAGAACGCTCTGTTCGGGGGAACGGGAGGCAGGCTCGGCGTGTGTTTCCCACCTGAGTTGTAGCTGACGATGTCCACTCCCAAGGCAGGGCTCTTTCTTTTCCTGGGCCTCCCCTTCTGGACCGTGCCAGTGCCGTTAAAGTAAGGCAGGGCCAGCCCTCCGCTCTTGGCAGCCAGCTCGGTGTAGCTCAGCTGAGGGGGATATTCTCCTTGCAAAAGGGACTCGAAGTGGGCCCTGCAGTAAACCAGGTTGTCCTTCATGCCAAAGTGATCGCCCGTGGTCAGAGTCTTGTTGCAGGTCGTGCAGGTGAAGCAGCTCAGGTGATAAACCGACTCCCTGGCTCTCATGACCATTTCGGAGGCTGAGATCCCAAGGTGGCAGCGGGCACATCTCTGCACGGAGAACCTTCTGAAGGAAACGGAAAAGTGGGCATCAACTAGAACGGCAAAGACAGAGTTTGCCCCCGGTGCCGCTCGCCTTCTCTCCCGGCCACGGGAGGGAGCCTGGCCCCGACCCCGGCCCCAGGACGACCCATGTCACCGGCTGTGGCCCCTGGCCCTCCTGGTGTCGGGACACCCTCCGGGAGCCGGTGCTGGGGTCCCAGGGTAAGCAACTCGCCCTTGGCGCCGAGCTGACCTACTCTCTCAGGACTTGGGCGAAAGCCCTCCCGCTGCCCATGCGAACGGACGCGGGCAGGACGGGGTGGGGGAGATCGGTCCCTGCTCTCCTGGCATTCCTGTCAAGACCAGAAGTGCCGCGGGGAGCTGAACCCCGGGACAGCTGTTAGGCACGGATCAGGATCAGCAGTGCCCGCTCCCGGGGTCCGGGCACCCTCCGTGGGGCTGAGCCGGGGCGGTGGGTCCCCGGACCGCGGGAAAACCGGCAAGCTCCGGGCAGAGGGAAATTTTTGTTGGGTTTTAAGCTGGTATTTACGGAGGAAAACCGCCGGGCAGCGGGAGAGCCTTCGCCTGTTTGTGTACCGCCACACATGCTCAGTCAGCGCGTCCCCTGACGGTCCGTCCGGTTTTTAAACGTGCGAGACTTTTCGGAGGGGACGCGTTTTCAGGATTAAGTAATCGCTGACTGCGAAAAGCTACCTTTGAAAGCCCATGTGGAGAAAAGAGCGTTTCGGTTCATAATGTCTTTTGAGGGGATGTACTTTTGAACCCATAGGGACTTATTGCTGTACCTGTAGTAATCCTCCTTGCAGTAAATACTGCCGTCCTTGGCAAAGCAGGTGAGTTCTGACTCCAAAGCCAGTTTACATTCACAGCACTTAAGACACCTGAGGTGCCATTGTTTGTCAACAGCCAGCAGGTAATATCTGTCTGAGATCTTCCCTCCACAACCAGCACACAAAGCAGGCTTCTCGGGGCTCATGGGGGGCATGTTCTGCAAAACAACCACACCACAAGGGATGAGACAGGGAGAGGAAGACAGGCAGGCAGGCAGGCTGGGCTGGGGACGGGTCCTGCGCAGGGCCCGGGGCTCGTACAAAGACACTGCTCTCTGGGACCAAACTCTGTTCCCAGTGGGAAGTTTAAGGGGGATCCGGGACCATCCCCGCTAGTAAAGTGTTACCGCGATTCAGCTTTCGTGTTTATACCAGTAAACCTCTCCTAATGATATAAGGTCATGTCAATACCTGAAGGCAACTGATTAGGCCGTAATAAGAAAAGCAGAGCTCATTCTTTCCTAAGGTACTGAAGTTAAACTCTGAGGCTTCCCCATTACTTTAGAGTTTTAATCTTAGAGCACTTCACAGGAACAGCATTTTAAAGCAGGAAAATATCGTTTTCCTCTTCCGAAAGTTTATGGCAGAGAGTTCAGACTTGCACTCATTCTACGGCAAATCTTTACCTGTATTTAAACGAGCCGAAACCGCATCTCTAAACAAAGTCAGGCCATTTAAAACAGGAGTAAGAAAAAGAAGACAGGTGGATGATGTAAAGAGCAGGGAACGTGAACGCTCACCAGCACGGCTAGGGACACGGGTAGAAAGGTGACACAGGCTGGTTTCAGCTCAAACTAGCATCTTTTTGTCAGTAAACTTCTGCAAGTTCCCATTGATCTGCTCCCCACGAGGAGTGTCGCTCGGGACAAAGGGAGATGGAGGGACGGCGGAGACAAAAGCTCTGCCGTGAAACTTGGGGCAGCATTTGCTGATAAAGTAACAGGAGAAAAAAACCCCCAAACATCTTGTTCTAAAGTTGCAACTGTTTTAAAGTGGCAACTCCGCATTCATTTTCCAATCCGAAGTAATGTTCCTCGCCCCCCTTTTTTTTGCAGCAATTGAAAAGGCGAGTTAAATTTACCTTGCAAATCCTCATATAACAAAGCGTGAGTTTATTTAAGAGGAGGGGGAAAGGACCCTATGGCCCAAAGCCTTAAAGCAGTTTTTCAGGCCGTTACTTTGTGTGCAGAGCCTTGTGCGCGATCGGCGGAAGCCCTACAAGTTGGAGAAAGGGAGATCTCGCTTTGCACAAAGCCCAGCGTGACACTCGATTTCTCCGCCATCCTTTAGTACATATCTGAAGACTTTGGTCCTTTTGACTAAGAGATGTTACTTCTAAGCAAAGTAGTCGGCCGGCATAACATTCAGAGAGAGCGGTGCCTCTTTGTATCAATCACACATTTCGGACCAAAAACAGTTACAAAAAGTAAGCATTAGCGGTCTGAGGTTTAATTTAGGAGGCTCCAGGAGAGCAGAAAAAAAGCAAAGCACACCTCGGGAGCTCCAGCCGCAGCCTTGCTCGAAGGGGCAGAGCGGCCGCGGCCGGCCGAACAGGGGCAAAAGGCTGCTCCACCGTAAGGGCTGAAACCCCTCCCTGGTATGATTTAAAATAGTTTCCCCGTTGCTCCATAGAGCACACACAACAACATTGACTAGTCAAAGGTATAACCGAGCCTGGCCAGCATAGCACCCAACGTTACGGGTGGATTTACAGGGAGCCTCGGAAGGGTTTCGACAAGCAAGGGATGGCAGGGAAGGGGAAGGGGGAAGCGGCGCCTTTCTCTTCCCAGAGTCAAGGTCTGTCCCGGTGCCGGTCCATGCTTGCGGGGATTCCCTTGCAAAAAGTGCCAGCTCATTTCTTACCGTTTCTCGGCCGTTCATCTGTCCCCCTTTGGCCAGGCGGGACTCGGTTTTGGATCGCCTCTCCATCTCCTCCATGATTCCTTGGATGTGGCCTCCGGAGATCCCGTGGAAAAGCATGGCTGGGGGACGGAAAGGACAAGTATTTTCTTCTGCTCTGCACCCCACTATTTCCATATACAGACCCCAGAGTCTTTAGATCATCCAAAATGTTTACACCGAGGCGCACAGCGCAGGGAGGGAGGTTGCAATAGGAGCTTCTCTTTGCACAAGCACCGAGGGCTTCCTGAAGATGTGCAGAAAACAAACAAGGGGGAGAAAATGTAATAATAATTAGTTCTAAAAATAAAATAGTAAAAGCGAGCTAAAGGATCTGTTACTGTTCTGGAGAGCTGGGGCTCCTGACTGGAGAAACTTGGACCTGGGGCAGTAGAATCGGTCGGGAAAGGATATAGTTTTGAATACAAAGAAAGCAAAAAGAAGTGCTATTTTCAGCAGTCCCTGGTTGCTTTAAAGTTCCCAGTGCCTGTAGGTTGGATTTGGGACTGCTGCTTTCCGGAGCTCTGTCCAATTTGTTAAGAGACTAAAGCCAGCCCATTTTTGATAATTTAGTAGGAGGAGTTCTCTCCCTTGAGCTGCCGCTGATTTTTATTCAGACAACAAAGACCTGTCATACTCCTCTCAACCCCTAGTGATGGGCAAGCAGTGACAAACATTACGGTCGGGGCTGTGGGTGGGGTGGGGTTTATTACCTCCCCCAAACACGGAGTCCCGGGAGTTGGAGGCGACGGCGCCTGGCGAGGGGCAGGGTGGCCCGGGGGCCCCGCTCCTCTCCCGGGGGCCCCGCTCCCCTCAAGGCCGCTCTGCGGGAACCTCCTCTTCGCGGCCACCCGGGCCGGCACCGCCGCTTCTGCCGCCGCCGCGGGAAGGGGAGAAGGAAGAGAAGCGCCGTGGCGGGGCAGCCGAGGCGGGATGGAGCGGCCAGACCACTCCCCGGGCCCAGGGGGCCGCGGAGGAGTGCTGGGGGGGGGAGGGAGCTTCGGAAGCAAGAGAGTTCCGGGCAGATGGAGCGCTTACCGGGGCGCTGCCCCGCGGAGCCCCCGCCCGCACCCTCAGCAGGATGCGGCCCCTCCGCGGGCAGCCTGCGGGGACAGCCCCGGCCGACCGGGGGTTGCCCTGGTGGGACTGCCTCCCTGCCTCCCCTCCCGCTCCCCGGCCGCGCACTGCGAGTGATCACTGTGTGTAGGGGACTGGGCGATGCATTCCTTCCTGTCTAATCTCTCTGTCTGTTCCCCTTCCCCTTCTTTTCCCGTTTTCCTACTTACTTTTCACACCACTCTTCCTTGCCTTTCCCTGAAACAGCTGCCGGCTGTTTCCTGACACCTCGATCCCTACTGAAGGATCTTCCTGGCGGCAGTCCTGCGCTCCCTGCTCCCTGGGGGACACTCCACACCAAACCCGAGTGCGACTAGTGAAAGAAGTACCCCAGCCCCCACTTCCTTTCCAAAGCATCCCAGAGACATCCTCAGGGGCTCCTCGAGTCACCTCTTCCATGTAACCCAAGATTCAGGCAGCCAGTTTCCTCCCTTCTCTTTCCCCCTTAAGTAGCTAAAATTAATGTTATTTGCAGATTGAATGTTGCTACATTCCTCCGAGTGCCAGAATACAGCTCATAAAACACAATTTCACACAAAGATGAAGTCAATCAAGTGAAATAAGCCTGGATTTTTTTTCTCTGTTGGCACACTAGACCCTGGACAGCAGGGCTGCTATTTACTGTAAGTAATGTAATTAGCCCTTTTGGATGGAAATCAATGTGTTGTATATATGTGTGTGTTTTAATAAGAGAGTAATAGCTATAAAACCAACGAGACTCAAAGGGCTAAGGGAATCTCCCTTAAAAAGGGCAGATCCCTCCACGAGCCGTAGTCTCCTGCAGAGCACTCCCGGTCTGGAAAAAAAAAATCTGTGTGTTGGTAATAAGGAGGGAAAGATAGGCTTTCCTTGGAGAAAACAAGTCAATTAGCACAATAAGACATCAGGAAAAAATAAACAAGGTGATTCGATCCGGGATACGGGAGCTGTTCGCTCGGAATCCCCAAATCCATCCCCACCCCCCCTCCTTTCCGCCGCCCCTCCGCGACGCCCCGGCTGCTCCAGGAGACGGGCGAAGGTGCTTCCCTCTCGACCCCAGTCCCGCCGGGGAGAGGTTGCGGGGCCCGCGGCTTTTGTGGAGCGGCCTGGAGAGGGGGGAGAGAGGGGCGGCCCCGCCGCGGGCGGGGGACGAACCCCCGTGCGCTCGGCAGGTACCGCCTGGCTTGGGGGATTGCAGCGATTTCTGTCGACAGAGGTCAAAAAGTCTCACTTAGAGATGAGTTTATTTCTAATCGTTCCAATATAGTCTTTCCTCTCCACAGGCACGTTCAGGGTTTGTTTCGGCTTTTTTCCCTTTCGAACTAGATTTTCCTGTATTCCTGTCCAGCTATGTTGTCGGGGTAACTCACCCTGCCTCCGTTTCGTGTTGCGTCTGTTCTCCTGGAATGGTCTGCATTTCCCGTGGCGCCCGGGTTGCCAAAGACACCCCGGCGTGTGCCGGGCTCAGACCTCCGCCGCCTCCCGCCCTCCCGGGCCGCCCCCGCAGACCCTCCCGGAGGCTCCACCGCCGCCGTCCCGCTGTGGCCGTGTCCCTGCCGAGCTGAGCACCGCCAAACTCATCGCGTCCGCCGGCAGCGGGGAAAGAAGGGGGTTGGGGAAGCCCCTGGGCGACCGCCGAGCCCAGTTCCCTCCGAGGGCTAAAGTGGGGACACTGAGCCCCCCGAACGTGCTTCGCCCCCGCCTCTGGCGCTCCGGGTGCGGGCACCGCTCCTCTCTCCCCTCTCCCCCTGCTTATCTCGCATTTGCTCTCTCGGGTTCACCGAAATGCTCTGCAGGTGCGGTGTCAAAGTATTGGTCCAAGGCAGAGACACCGAAAATATTGTTTGTTAAATTCTCGTCTCTACCTTAGCTCGATGGCGCCGTTAGGAGTAATTGGGCAGACTCATAACAAAACTCAGAAATGACTGAGCCTCCTCCGGTTGGGCACACTTAATTAATTAGAGGGTCCTTTCTTTCTGCTCCATCAGGTACGGTTAAGGATACGCTACTAGCTACTGCTGCTACAGTAAAGGAGGCCAGCGGTTTCCAAGGCGTTTTCTGATTAACATCCTAATGCTGGCAGACCACTTCTTACCTAAAGGGACACTAAAAGTTTGTTGCTAGCATCAAACGTGACTTCTCCGTTTCCAAAAGGCCTGTAGGAGATCAAGGTAAATCTATTTCAATGTTCCTGAGATCTCATTCCTCGCTGCGAACTGATGCTCCGCTGCTCTGAGGCAGGCTGGTAGCGAGAGGTTGCCATTATAGCACGAAGGGCTCCGTATAGTTTTGCTGGTTTGCTTGGGGAGGGGAGAGAAAAGCTCAAAAAGAACACGACAGGGAATCTAAAATCCAAATCTGTGAGCCTGTCCCTCATGAATCCGTCGGCATTAGCAGTTCCTCATTGCAGGGCGCTTTCATCTCCTTTCTCTGCAGCATTTGGGGAAGGATATCTGATGTGCAATATTCAGAATATTTTAGTAACATGACAGGCGCTCTCAGTTTTTTCCTTTTTGTAAGGCTCTACCCGGGCTCCCCAAGCTAATGAGGGGGGGTAGGAGGGGTGTGTGTGTGGAATACATCGCTGTGGGGATTTCCACAAGTCCAGCGTTTGTCTGCCCACGCAGGGCTGGAGAGCTCCCACGAACATCCCGCTGCAGCCCCTGCCCGCAGCCCCTGCCCGCAGGTCCCCGGGCGCTGCCTGGAGCCGCTTCCACCTTCGCAATTAGCGTGTGCCCTGGGCACATTTCAGCGTGCGGTCACTGGGATCCGCTCTGCCACGGAGCCCGCGTTCTCCCTGGCCACGGGCTACCGTCTAAAGCCTATCACAGCGTGAACGATCTTGTGTTTAGTTCGGAGGATTTAGGGCAAGGTCTACATGCAAATTAATAATTGACCAACAATAATTAGGAGAAAGGGGAGGGTGTTCAGGCGGGGGTTGGGGGTGGGGAGGAGAGGGTGTTCTTTAAGCAGAAATGGTTTGGATTTCGCCTGCCCTACTTGAGGCCGTGGCGTGTCCCGGCTGCAGGCGTAGGGCATTGCCCGGGCCAGCCGCCTCCCGCCCCGTAGGGCACCAGGGCTTCACACCCTCTCCGTCAGCACCTGAACTTTTCAAGACACTTCCAGTTTAATCATTTCCAGAAATTTAAAGCGCGTAGTAAAAACAGCAACAGGATTACGATCCTGTTGCCTGCGAGTCGGGTGGTTAAAGCCAGATCTATTTTTAAATCCTAACACTATTTTCTGCTCTATGATCTTATGGTGGAGTACAGTGCTATTAATGAACAACCTCATCTCTTTGTGAAGTCCGCGGGTACTACATGCAATCTAGACACAAAGAAGGAAAATCTGAATAGAGTTACATCTCTCGGCGGTGGTATCAAATGTAGCTAATGTCGTTTTCAGCATTCAAATAGGTTGCTTTTGGGAGCTTTGGTCTTGTTGGGTTTTTTGATTTTTTTTTTTGTTTTTTTTTTTTAAGCCCGACATTATTTAAAAGTCCGCTTCGGAGTCAGATACAACATATTTTACCACCACCATCATTCTCCTCTCTCTAGTCCTCTCGAGTGTACCGTGGACCAACTTTCGGATCACTGTGTTAGAGACATGTTAAAAGCCAGTGCATCGCAGGCAGATTCGGGCACCAACCCCTCTCCTCCCCAGCCAGGCTGTGCGGGGGCTGGCGGTGCGAGGGACACAAGCGCAGAGTATCTTTAACCATAAACGGCACCGGATTAAAAACCCCCAAAGCTCCAATGTGCTTGTACCTTCCGGTAATCTGAAAACATGTCAATTAAGCCACGTATTCATTTGCTTAAGGAGATGATATTTAAATAATAAACAATTAGGTGCTTTGCATGGTAATCCCAAACACATATCTCCGTGGTCAAGCGCTGTGACTGACCACAAACAAGTGATCACACAGCCAGAAGAAAGCAGGAGAGGCAGATTATTGTCTAACATGAAACTGTTCACCGCCCAGGACCTCAGCACTGTCAGCTTCTTAGTTGTCTGATATTAACCGTAATCGGATTTGTACTCCGGTTGTAATTAAGCCGCTGGAAATCATCATATTTTGCTGCTTTTGAAAAGGACTCCCTCACAGACCAGATTCACAGACAGGTGAAAGGAGCCATTCCATTGGAAAAAAAAAATAAAAGAAAGGCAAAGAACACGGGCTTTTTATTTTTTTTTCTTTTTAATTGAGCTGAATGGCTCAGCCTTCCCAGGCTGCTATTTTTCTAGATTAAAATATAGATGCATGAAATGTTATTTGTGAATACACCTGGGAAAACTACCATTCTGTGTTGTTAAAAAACCCCAAACAAACAAACAACAACACGCCAAAGAAACACCACGCAAATTACATCCGTGAGGTCCAAATAGCTGCAGTACTAGCAAAGACTCATGCAGGAGCTTACCTTGAGACCTTAGAAGCTTCTTCCAAAATTGTACCCTCCTTAATGAGTGATGAGGGATGGGTTTTGGATGGAGAAGAGACGCAATGATCTAGCCAGTAGATGGAGGTTGTTCCTTGTTCCTAGCAGAGGATCCCTATGTTAATTAAAATAAACAAGCTGCTTGGTGGAAAGATTTTTTTTTTCCTCCCTTCTCTCCCTCTCTCCCCCTCCCCCACATAGCCTCTGATATAGAATTGACGTGAATTTCTAACCCCTGACCTCCTGCCAACACACAGATACCTGCCTTTTATTTTCTGTTTGTTTCAAAATATTTTCTAAAACTAACTAAATAAATAAATAGGAAGAATGAATGAAGCAAAAAATAAATCCCACCTCTCGATTTTGGCTGGTTTGCTGGATTTTCTTGATTAGCTGTCTCAGCTCCTCAGTAATCAGGTGAGGTGTTAATGGGGAGCTGGTTGTAAATAAAACTAATAAAGCAAAGAACATATTAGGAAATTAAAAAAAGGCGAGGACTGAGAGGCTGTTAAAAATATTGTAGCGAGCTGAGCGTTTCCCCATCACGTCGCTTTTTTCGTTCTGTGCTTATTCACAGCTGAGCAGCAAACCCCGGGTTGTTGCCATCTTTCCACATTTTTTTTTTCAAATCGCACTGAACCAGCCATGGACTGCATCAACCCTTCCCACTTTCATAAAAAGCCTCTCAAATGGAGTCGCTAAACAGCAAACTTCAGCCTGATCTGATGTGATATGATATACGGATTCATGGAGCAACCTCGCTTTGCCAAACCCGATGAAACTGTGAGTTGTCATGCAATACTACGCAGTCAAACCTGGGATAATTGTAAAAGTGAACCCAATTTAACCCATTAGAATAAAATCAGATGCCAAGATGAATCGGAATCATTGCTTCTTAGGTGACAGTACTGATGACAATTGATCCACCGGCTCAAAACAATAGAAAAATATAGGGCCGAGAGTCATTTCGCGTACTCTCCCTGCTCGGAGGAAACGGGGAGCCGGCGGGGAGGCAGGAGCCGGCTCCCGGCCGGACTGCGGAGGGGCTGCGGCCGCGCCTCCCGCCGGCCCTGGTGGAGCGGGTCTCGCAGGAAGGGGCTCACTGAGAGGACCCTGTGGCCGGGGAGCTGTTTCTGCAGCAGCCACACGAGATGACTTCTCGCTTCGGCTTTGTTTGTTTGCCCGTTTCTCTTAACTCCTGCGACAGTTTCAGTCCTTCTCCCCTGAGCCATGTGACCCTCAGGGCTACGTGGCCAGCTTAGTAATCTATCACAAAAAAAAAAAAAAGGGGGAAGCAAGGGATGCTAATGATCTTCCTTGGAGTTTGTCAGCGGAGCCCCGGCGGCGTGCGGAGGAGGCAGGGCGGTCTCGGCTTCCCGCCGGGGTGCGCACCGGCGGGGGGGTGTCCGGCCGTGCGCCCCGGACAGGGCGACGGGTCCCCGAGAATCTCGGCTCTGCCGAAGGGGTGGCAGCTCGGCAGCGGCCGGGTAACAGCGCGGTGGCACCGGCAGCCTCTCTCCCCGCCCAGGGCTCCCTCCCGGCCGCCGGGGGGAGGCCCTTTGCCCGCCCTCCCTTGGGCAGGGGTGGGTGAGGAGCGCGGGGAGCCCGGGGCGCTCGGCGGGAGCGGCGGCATCGTGCCTGCGGTCCCCATGGACGCAGGCGGGCAGCAAAGGACACATACCACCCGACAGCAGCAGCTCACCTGGAGAAACCGGCCAGGGAGGTGTCGGGAGCGTTTGTGTGTGTGTGTGTGTGTGTGTGTGTGTGTTGTGCGTGCGTTAGTGTGGGTACTTCTGGCGGAGAAACTAAAAGCCGGGTATGTCTCTGCAGGAGTAGTGGACTTAGGGCAGGGACCATGAGCTCTCATTACGCAGGGTTTGCTGCCCCGGCTCCGGGGCCATGCAAACCCGTCTTGCTCCCATGGTGAGAGCTTTTAAAGTAAGGTTTTCGTTAAATCCGGTGGTGACCAGGAAGTTTA